AAGGAAGGAACATTAGCATCCGTTCAGTTTGTGGATCTAAAATGAAACAGGAGGCAAGGCCAACTCCAGGCACTATTTCCCGGAAGAACATTCAAAGTGCACAGAGATTTCTGCCTCTTTGCAATGAGGTTCACAGTGTTGGTACCTTAGGGGCTCTGGGCATCGCTGACACTTTGTTTTTGCCACTGAATGCAATAACATTGTTTTGTGCAGTTCAGTGTGATGCTCCCTCTGCTATCTTGCTATCTGCGTTATCCGTCTCTTTATACGCATTTTTAAAATACTTTTTAGAGCCACAGTAGACCTTGTATACCTTCAATTTCAGAACCTCATTTCACCAGTGAAGAATTGGGGCCCAGAGCAATAAAACAGTTCACTTCTCTGCAACCAGTCCACTCTTCTATACTGAATAAGTTGCAGAAGGCCATTCCAAGCAATAACTCAGCAACCCAAATGTCATCTCACCCGGTCAGAGTAGTTTCGGCCTATGATTTCTCCCTTTATGCTCGTTCACTCGTCACTCCAAACAGAACATTAACTCTGATGATTCAGCTTTTACTGCTCATATGACCATAACATTTATCATCCGAGTCAGGGCATCTGTGTGGGTGCATGGGGGCACTATTGAAAATTATCTTGGGTCAACAGGTGTAAACCAGGACTGTCCTGAGCAAGCCAGGATGTATGGTCGCATTACCAGTACATAAAACTCTTCATAAAATCCACATGTACAGGTGTTCAGTAAATAATGAATTGTATCTCTTTCTAGAGTAGGCTTTGAGGAATCTCAGCCTTTTAGGGAAGTGAACATCACTCTTGCCCTGTTCTATCACAGCGCACATTAGTGTAACTATAGAACTCAGGCATTTTCAGTCCCACTCTCTGCCATTTTTACCAGACAGACACAATCAGACATTATTTTCTTATAAAGAAAGTCACCTCTATTTAAGACACATGATGCTTTTTTTTTTTTACAAGTTAGAACCAATTATACACTAACTCTCATATCCTGAAGTGGTAGCAATGGGCTCTTTGGTTGACCACTCTCTATTTCTTGAAAACAAAGACAACTCACGCACACACAACTTTGTAACTTTTCATCAACAAAAGAGCTGAAAACTAGGAGCATGAGGAAGAGGAATTTCCTTATCTCATCAAAAGTGAGATCATAAATGCCAGGCAACCATGGTAGTCCACACTGTAGCTTTATCATTGGGGACCTTTAAGGATCCAGGGCTGAGAGCAAATAAATAAGCTTTCCTGATTGGTGTCAAATTACACAGTCAAGGTCTGTTTGGACCCCTGTCTTTTGAGGAGTTCTTGGGCACCGAAATTTAATCTGTATTCAACCACATTGACCTTATCCACTCCCATGGGCTGACTTATCTTTCCTGATGCCGTGTTAAAAATATAAAGACCTGCTTATAAAATTAACAGATTATAACATTAGCTACGTGGAAAGAACATTTCCATTTTACCTTTTTGTCGCCTCACACTTTATCATCTCAGGAAGGGGGGCAACCACTGATGATATGACCTGAGGCAGGCCCTGGGCCACTGAAAAAGCAAAGTCAGGTACCTTTTTTTTCTTCCTGATTTTCCACTCACACGTCTTGCTTTGACTACACACATACTGATGATGGTGATGATGATGATGATGATGATGATGATGATGATATAGAGGAAGAGGAGAAGGAGAAGAATATGATGAAGAAGAAGAAGTAGGAGGAGGAGGAGGAGTAACAGGAGAAAAAGAAGAAGACGGAGAAAAGAGGAAGAAGAAGAGCATAATTTCCTCTCAATACTCTGAGGTTTTGAGAAGTTTTTATTGATTTTTTTTTACAGAGAGGAAGGGAGAGGGATAGAGAGTTAGAAACATAACATCAATGAGAGAGAAACATTGATCAGCTGCCTCCTGCATACTCCCTACTGGGGATGTGCCCGCAACCAAGGTACATGCCCTTGACCAGAATCGAACCTGGGACCCTTGAATCTGCAGGCTGACACTCTATCCACTGAGCCAAACCAGTTACGGCTACATTTCCCATCTTATATTGAGCTCCTAGGTCTCACTACTATGGGACACTATTTAAACTTTAAAGGCTGCCTCCCCCCAAATACAGCATAATCCAATGTAATTACAACAAATTAAATAGCCCAATGAAAATATTTATTTTAACATTTGGCCAGGGGAAAATCTAAAATAATGTTTAAAGAAAAGAGCATAACCTAGTTATTATTCATGAGTGACTATTCAATAAAATGAACCAGAAAAAAAATGTCTAAAGATTACATTGAAATCCAAGTTGAATATAGATCAGCAAGATAGAGTTATTGCCTTGAAAAGCATGACTCTTTCTTTCAATAACTATTATTTTAGTATTTCTCCAAACCATACTCTAAAAATATGTAAAGCTATGCATGCCAAGCATACTGCTCTCGATGTACTTTCAAAGAAAGGGAATGAAATAAGCACCAATAATATGCAGTGTACCCCAAACAGAACAACCCTACAACCTTACCTTATATGATTCTCATGAACATTTAGTGACGGCATATTTGCACAGCCTTTAGAACTCTCTGACACATAGTAGTAAGCACTATATAATTGTTAAGTTGGTAACAGTGCATACAATATGTACCATTAGATAGGCAGAAGCAGACATGGCATATAAAAATTGTACATAAATAACAAATGGTTATTATCTAGGAAATTTTCATAAAGAAGGGGACACAGAATGGATGTAAAAATTGAAAACAAAACTTATTAAAGTTACTAAATCAAAATGAAACACCATCAGCTTGGACACAGATTTGAGATAAATTCATAAGCCAGTGAATAGACACAGGTGCCAAGAGTATAGGAATGGGAGATTGGGCTTGAAGAGTGAATTAGGCAGTAATGGGGTGCAGAAAATGCTCTTGTAACACTTGTTAATATTACAGTATTTGGTGATACTTCAAAGGAGACTAATCCTTTTTGAAATAATCAATCTTACCAGAGACTCCAATGTGTAGCTATGTAATGGTCACAAAGAACTATCATACACAGCTTTAGCAATGATTACTATTGCTGCTATGCTGTTCTTAGAGCATAGATTCCTTATAAGGTAATAAATATTTGACATTGATGTAGCTTTTCACACTCAAGTTGGCACACTTAGTCTTAAAGCTGTGACTGATTACACACTTGGCAATCTGTTTAGCCAATAGTTGCTTAGAATCATTTCCTTTCTCACCTTTTGCCCACAAGTTTATGAAGAAATATCCGGTGGAGAAGAAAGGGACAACTCCTATTTTCATCCCTCAGAGCTGAAGTTTTTTTCTCTATGTTCTATCTCCAGCTCAGACTTCCCCTGGTGGTAGATTGGGAGATGATTGAGGGCAGGACCCATCATATCCATCCTGTAGCCCCAGCATCTAGCATGGAACATCATATAGTAAATCCTTATGAACAACAGTTTAGATTGGCTTAATTGGATTGGGTTGGGTTGGGTTGGGTCAAATAGGATCAGATCAAAGTGAATAAAAAGTAAACCATGTACCCCATTCTTATACTAACAGAAAGTACAAAGTTTTAAATAAACCCTGTTTAAAAATACCTCATCATATATAGTTGAGAAAACATTTTTGTACAGATTTAGAGACACAAAAAGCTTTCTTGTACAAGAAATATATGAGACTTTCAGTGCAATGAGTTCATCTTAAGAGACAGAGAAAAAATACCTACCTTATCATAGATCAAGTTGATGTAACGCTTAGATGAGCACATTTATATACTTGCATCATAGAAAAAGATGCTTGCAGTGTGAATAATATGCCACTTTTAGTCATTAGGCAACTACTTCTACCCCTTAGCAAAGCGTTACTAAAAGGATAGTCTTCAAACAAGGGATGTGCTGCAAACTCCTCATTTTTAAACCAGTACTATTTAATCCACACATGTTGAACAAATCAAAGTTTCAATAGTTTCTTGGAAATGAACAGCAGCCTATAGATGTGTCACTAAAATAATTAAAAATTAATTCGGAAGTAAGATAGAAAAGAACTTTTATATTTTTCCAGTCCCCTTAATCTCTCACACAATGATTGGGAAAGTCCTCTCTCTGAAAATCCTATTTGACATACTATATCTGAAAATGAAATAGAACCATGTTATGTGTATCTGAAGAAAGTTTCTAAGAAAGAGTCAGACATGCAGTTAACTACAGTGTGTCTAGACTCCGCGTGGTTATGCTCTTCACTCACTTTTATTGACAAAAACTATTCCTTACGAGCTGGCTGATGCCCAGAAAAAAGTCTATGTTCTCTATTTAGATTGATTTTCCTTTTGCTTTTTCCTGTCTATCTTGGTGGAGGTAGCTTAGAAGTATTCTCTGGAGCTATTGCAATAAGTCATAAGTGGGGGAAAATATCTTATTCTAGACTTATTAGACCTTGGAGACTATGAAGATCCGAGGATTAATTTTTCAGACGTTAAATAGACTAAGCCAGACATAAAAGGGTAAATACAGAATGATTCTACCTGCATCAAGCTTTGGAACAGGCAAGACTGTTCTGTGGTACTGACTGTCAGGATAGCAGTTATTTACCCCAGACCTCTGGGATGCTGGACGATGGGGTTGTTCCTGGATGCGGATGTGGTGACATGAGTGGGCTCAGTCTGTGAATATTTATTAGCTATTCATTTATCCTCTGGGTAGATGCTATAGCTCCATAAAAAGTCCAGAATAACATTAATATAATAACAGACATGAAAAGCAATCAGATTTCCTTTGTCTAAATCCAACAGTATATTCGTCACAGATCGCAACACTGTGTTGTCCCAAATCATAAGCCTGCGTGCCAGCAGAACCAGCAGTTTGGATCCTCTGCTTCTGTCTTGTGATTATTTCCCCCCAATCTCAAGCTGGGTCACGCTGTAAGGCCCATGGCACAGCCTGCTGCCGGAAGGCTGCCAACCTTCCTCTCTGAACTAACGCTGTTTGCCATGTTAACAGGCGAGTTGTGTGAAGAGAAGCTGGACTTCTGTGCCCAGGACCTGAACCCCTGCCAGCACGACTCCAAATGCATCCTGACGCCAAAGGGAGTCACGTAAGTCAGGGGCTGCCTTGGTGCCCACCTGGGGGCCCCCTCTGCTGGGAGCTGCTCTTCTCCACCTGCCCTCAGGCTCTGGCGTCATGCCTTTGCTCAGGATTAAAGGGACATACACTCTGGGGTCCAAACATTTGTATAAATGGTCATAAACAGCATGGACTTTGCTTTAGTACACTGAAAAATAAAATAAAAGAGAGAGTTTTCTTTTTATCCATGACTCTTCCTAGGAAGGTGTGCATGAAGTAAAATAGCCTTTGACTATATTTATGAAAATGTCTTTGAAGGCTGAATAAATTTGGAATATCTGGTAGGTTCTTTATTATTTGAATGTTTAATTTTAATTTGATCTGCAGCAGTGTTTTAACTCTCCAAGGTGAGGAACAGAGAGGGCCCTATGTCCCAGTTGTCCAGGGACAGTCCCAGTTCATGCCTGTTGTCTCAGCATATTCACTGATAGGACCCCCTTCACCTTACATATGTCTTGTGGGGGATGGTAAAGCGTACAGCCACTCCGAGTAGAGAGCTCCCTCACCTGAACTCAGAACTTCAAAATCATTTTTTATGTCTTCCTCAGCAATATTCCTGAAATAGGTTTGGTATCAAATTAAATTACATCTTTGGCACAATCCTGAAATATCTCAAGGGTCTAACAGCAACTTCTCTCCTTAGAGACAGTAGTAGTTTAGAGACCATTGTGCCCAAATGCTTCCTTTTAAACATGAGGAAAGCGGGCCCAGAGCGGTCAGTGGCTGCCCAGGTATCTCAAGGTTATTCATGGGCAGAGCTGGAGCTCAGATATATACTTCCCAGCTGGGTGATTCTTCTAACACAGGTGACCCCTAAGGAGTTTTGTAGTTTCTTAACATTGCAGTTGGCTTATTATGGAAGGTAAGCCGGACGCTCAGGGATGACCCACCCGGATTCAGGAGTTGAGCTGTGCTTACATCAGACAACTAGCAAATAACATCATTTGTCCCTTTCCACAAGATTTAGTGAGCACCTGCCATGGGCCAGGGCACGTGGCAATAATACCATCTTATATTTTTATACTGCTCTATAGCTACTCACTTTCACATACTTGATCTTCTCGATGAAATTACTCAGGCGTCATTGCCATGGGATTCAGAGAATTAAAAGTGACTCAGGTCAGGAACAGTTTTGTGAGAGGAGATGTGATTCAAGCTGGGACTCTAACATTGAAATTTGTCAACGGATGATCAGACATTGTCTGTAGGATGGGAGGTAAGGGTCAGTATTACCAAGACCCCATCACTGCCTTTAAAGACGAATCTGAAAAATATATATTTTCAAGATGTATTTAATTCTTTGATGCAACTTGGCTTAAAATTTATCATTTTAGAATATACAGATACAGTTGCAACATCTGCTGATTCCATTTGATGACTTACTAAAAAGGAAAAGAATATCTCTTATACTACTTTTCAAATTTTAGTTTATACTTCCCAAAACCCACAAAATTCTTAGTAAAATATTTATACAAAATTCTGCATTGCATTTTTGTTCATCTATATACTGTACATAAATTAGTTGAACTCCTAATGTCTTTGATCTGCCCACAGTTGGCAAGTTGAAAGTCTGTCACTTCCATTACAAATATCATTTCTCAGATAAAATCATCAGCAAAGAAGGTGGTTTTCCATAACTGCTTATCTGCTATATAGGTTTCATAGGATTTTGTGCAATGCAGTTATAAGATAAAATATTAGTAAGACAATGGAAATCATTACAAAATGAGGAAGTTCGTCTTCAAAAAGATGAATCTTTAATACAATGTCTTCTATTACCATCATTAGATTACATACTCTTTTTTCAGTTACAGTTGACATTCAATGTTATTTTACATTAGGTTCAGGTGTACAGCTTAGTGGTTAGACATTTATATAATTTACAAAGTGATAGCTTAATAAGTCCAGTACCCACTTGGCACTATACATAATTATAGCAATATTATTGACTACACTTTCTATGCTGTACTTCATAGTCCCCTGACTACATTGCAACTACCAATTTGTAGTTTCTAATCCCTTCACCTTTTTCACCCAGTCCCCCAACTCCTCTACCCTCTGGCAACCATCAGTTTGTTCTCTGTATCTATGAGTCTGTTTCTGTTTTTGTTTGCTCATTTATTTGGTTCTTTAGATTCTACATATAAGTGAAATCATATGGTGTTTGTCTTTCTCTGTCTGACTTATTTCACTGAGCACAATACCCTGGAGATCCATTCATGTTGTCAGAAATGGAAAGATTTCATTCTTTGCATGACCGTGTTCTATTCTATTGTATGCATGTGCCACATCTTCTTTATCCACTCATCTATCAGTGGGCACTTAGGTTGCTTCCATGTCTTGACTATTGTAAGTAACTTTGCAATGACCATAGGGGTACATATATCTTTTTGAATTAGTGTTTTGGATTTCTTTGGATAAATACCCAGAAGTGGGATTGCTGGGTTATAAGGTAGTTCTGTTTTTAATTTTTGAGGTTGCACACTCTTTTTTTCAGTTGTTTTTATTGATTTCAGACAGAGAAAGGGAGAGGGAGAGGGAGAAACATCAATGATGAGGGAGAATCATTAATCGGCTGCCTCCTGCACACCTTCTACTGGGGATCAAGCCGGCAACCCCAGCATATGCCATGACTGGGAATTGAACCAGTGACCTTTTGGCTCATGTATCAACACTCAACCACTGAGCCATACAGGCAGCTCTAGGTGCACACTCTTCAAAGTGCATCTTCCTGGATTATGGGTTCGCTGATTTGGGAACCTGTGGTTTTCACAGTCATTTGTGAGCTTGTTTTACAGCTGGATGTAGCTTAGCAGAAAGTAGGTGAAGTCATAGTATGTGCCATTACTCCCACATTCTAAAAAACTGCACATTGTGAGAAAGGGAGGTGCAAAAAGAAAATGGACTTAAAAACCAAAACTCTTTGAATGCTGCTAAAGAAAAATCTCTCCTGACAAATGTTGTTTGAACAACTTGTACTGTTACTTCTTTTCTTATTACTAAGCTGAGAGAGCTGGTTTTACTTCTCTTGCTTCATTATATACCTCATAAATCTCCTAAATTGCTTTGAGATATTTTTAGACCACGATATGCCATAAGCAGTATTTTCAAGCATGCATCTTACTTAGTCAGCTTTTGGGCTTCCAAACAGTATATTTTATAGTCTTTGCTCTCTTCCTCACTCCTGGCCAGATAATGGAGTTGAGGGAATATGATAGGTTTTATTGATAATACAACTTTAAGGAATTCCTAATTAAATATTTTCTTCCTGTTTTAAAGCTAGATCTGAGGAGCAAAAGAAAAAACCAAAAGAAGAAAAAAAAATGTTGGTTATAATGTGACTCCAAGTTCTAAGGGGCTTGAGAAATGGCATTGGTAGAGAAGAGAATATAAAATAGCTCTTAGCCACTATGGTGAATGTATGGCTCTCTTATCTTTTGCTTTGATTTCTTTTCTCAGATAAATAATTCAGTGTGTTTCAGAGCACTTCTTTCTTTTAATGCTTGGCCCTTTAGCTCTGCTCACATTAACATGGATGGAGGCTCTTCTCTTGGTGCTTGTCCATCTATTTCAGTGTCTACAGCCACTTAGGGTCCACGTCACTTCAGACTTCTTTATTCTGCATTGTTATGATTTAGCACTGAAACCACTGGCTCTAGGGGAAGCACGCTTATGCAGTGAGCTAGTTTTATGTCTTAATTCACACAGGCAGAGCTGAAAGTCTGTGTGCTAGCCCATTTATTTTAATTCATCAGTTATCCAGTAGCTCTTAAATCCCAATGTCGCATTTGCAGACAAAGCCCCTGGCATTCAGGAATGTCCACATTCACTTGGGTGTTTTTAATTATCCTCATTCACTTAAACCCTAATGGCTTTAAAATAGAAAAGTGGGTAATTGCTGCAGCCTAACCATAAAGGCTTTATAGAATTATAAAGACTTAATGGAATTATTAAAAATATAACTACCATTTATTGATCATGCATTATAAATCAAACACTATGCTAATTATTTTATAGATGGTAGTTTTATTAAATATTTTAACAAACCTATGAGATGGAGATGATTTTATTCTATATGGGTTACAGATGAGGAAATGAACACTTAAATTAGGTAACTCTGTGAAGATGACATACACTTAAGAATAAAGCCAGGATATAAACCCAGTTCTAACAGCCAAGTCCAAATTCTGTAAAGCTAAACCATAGTTTCCATATTTGTCTTTTTAAAGTCAGCAAACCTTTTCTTTTTATTTATTTATTGACTAGAGGCCTGGTGCACAAAATCTGTGCACTCAGGGGGTGGGGAGGGGGTCCCTCAGCTTGGCCTGCACCCTCTCGCAGTCTGGGAACCCTCGGGGGATGTCTGACTGATGGTGTAGGCCGACTCCCCATGGGCCTAAGCCATCAGTAGGACATCCTTAGCACTGCTGTGGAAGAGGGAGAGGCTCCTGCCACCACCACTTCACTCGCCCGCCATGAGCCTGGCTCAGGGCTTCTGACTGAGCAGTGCTCCCGCGGCGGGAGCACACTGACCACCAGGGGGAAACTCCTGTGTTGAGCATCTGCCCCCTTGTGGTCAGTGTGCATCATAGTGACTGGTCGTTCCACTGTTCGGTCAATTTGCATATTAGCCTTTTATTATGTAGGATTTTAGAGAGAGAGGAAGGAAGAAGGGGAGAGAGAGAAACATCGAAGTGAAAAAGAGACATTGATAGGTTGCTTCCTACATGTACCCTGACTGGGATTGAACCCACAACCAGAGAATGTGCCCTCATCGGAAATTGAACGAACAACCCTTTGGTGCATGAGATGATGCCCAACCACCTGAGCCACACCGGTCAGGGCCAGAGAAGCCTTTCTTAAACCCAAAACAGAAATGCTCATGGGAGCCCAGTGTGTAAAACTAATAAATTACAACAAGAGAGTGTTGGGAGGCAGATAGAGGGTGGAGGGAAGCTACCAGAAACACCTCACCCCCTGCCATGGCCATATCTGTAGGGGTCCATGGTCCCCTATAGCTCCACAAAGCATAGTTTAGAACCCCTGCTCTGGCCACACTGCTTTCCCTCAAGCAACTCAAGTCCTGAGACCTGCTGTCATAGTAGAGATTCCAGTGATCAGCACTGGAGAGGGGCAGGTTTTACAGACAGCCCTACGGGATTAATTATCAAACAGCCTCGTGCAGTGGTTAGGAACCCAGGCTCTTGTCAGATTTCTTGGGTTCAGTTTCAAGCTGTGGCACTCGCAAGCTGAATGTCCTTGGGTAACATGCTTAAACAATGTGTCCTCTATTTCCCTCCCCTGTAGAGCGAAGTAATGGTAGCACCAATGTCACGGGGCTGTAGAGAGCTGCCGGGGTTCTTGTCCCAGCATCAAGAAGGGTTCAGCAAATCTGGAGAAGGCTGTGCATAGATTAAATAGGAGTCCAGAGACGAAGCATAATTTTGAAAGGCGTTTGGGGGTCAGAGGAGCCTAGCTGAAGGAGCTAAGTTCTAAGTTCTAAAGTCTCAGGTCTCCTCATCCCAGGACCCCATCCTTTTTATTAACACAAT